GCTAGCCCTGTGAGGAGTATAAACTCCAACATGGATTATGTCTTCAAGGAACTGGTAGGGGAAAGGTCAAGTGTGTGTGTGTGTGTCTGTGTGTGTGTAACAAAAGCAGAAAGCAATCCACACCATGAGAAAGCATTTCATTCATAGGGGAGATGGAAAAGGAGAGATTATTTGTGAGTAAGGCTTCATGCGCATGGCACTATTTAAGCTGGATTTGGAAAGATGTTTAAGATTTAGATTTACAGAAAAAGAAAAGGTATGTTAGTCTAAGGGAACAGTGAGTAGAGGTAAGGGACCAGGAGAATGGTGAGCCACTCAGACTGGCTGGATAGTCAGGGTGCCCTGATGTCCTGGTTTGCCTAGAACAGTCTTGCTTTGGGCCTGCTTTCCCAACATAATTATTACAGGGCCCCTTTCACATGTGAGTGGCCCATTTAGAAAATTATGTGATCAGCCTAAGTTAGGGTATAACAAAGAAGTAGGAGGAGACTAGCCTAGAAAGATAAGACTGAATAGTGGCCCCAGAAGGCCCCTTTTGCCAAAGAATATAGGTTCTTCTATAAATACTGAGGCATTATTAAAGGTTTCCTAACATGTATTTTAGACAGCACTTACAAATACAGAGATCAGCAAGAACAGGGGTATGAATACTTGAGAGCTGTTGCAGTAATTCTGGTAACATATAACAAAGGCTTGGACCAGAATACTGTCTGCTGAAATGGGACGAAGGAGATGGTATGAAAGACACTGCAGCCTAGCTCAGGCATTGGGCAACTCTTTCTGTAAAAGGCCAAACAGTAAATTTTTAGGCTTTGTGGGCTATGTGGTCTCTGTTGCAATTACTCAATTCTGCCATTATAGCTAAAAGTAGCCACAGATAATACACGAATGAATAAATAAGGCTGTGTTTTAATCAAACTTTATATATGGCCTCTGAAACTAGAATTTCATATAATTTTCATGCACATGAAATATTGCTATTCTTTGATTTCAACTGTTGAAAATGTAAGAACCATTCAGAGCTTATGCACTGTTCAAAAATAGGTAGTGGGCTGGGAGGCCTTAGTTTGCCAGTCCCTGGCGTAGCCGGGTCTCATACTCAGATCTACTAACCACATTAGTATTCTGAACCTTTAGCCACGCTGTCATGCAATAATCCCAGCATTATTAAATCACCTGATTTTATTGTTGGCTAGAACTGCAAATACCTTCACTAATGGAATCCCATTCATAATTGTTTTTATCCCTCACAGAAGACAATACCGAGCACATTTAAATCACTGAGTAGTGTACTTTGTGTACTTTTGCTTAGTTGAATTATTTAATAATAGGTTCAAGATAGAACTATAGGAAGAAAATTATTCATCGTGCTAAGCAACTACAAAAATATAATCTATCATCTTGACATGCTTTGCTTCTTTTAGACATCTTCATAAATTGTCACAGTGGCTCACACTTCAGGTGAATTTACAGTGCACTTGCTCAGGTGCTATGCAATTGCCTTGGCAATAAAAAAAAAATAGGTGATTCAAAGGGAACACACTTTGCAGGTGACCTATTTTCAAAGACCTTTTCCTACATATAAAGAAACTTCACCTAAACTGGCTATAGAGCAAAGAATATTCTTTCCATAAATTCCACCATAAAGTTGAAGTTATGTTTCCAAGATTATCATCCTTTTGGCAAAGCAGGGAGGGCAGGCAGATAGGGGACTGGTGTATATACAAGGCACTACATTTACTAAGGTTACTTCTACAGAATTGTCAGAATTCTAGGTAGTTTTAACAAATGTAGCATAATCCTGCTGCTGCCTCCGATTCCTGTCCCTCGTTAAACAGTATAATTTCACACACCTCTTCCCCCGACACACACACACCATAACTGAGGCTCATCCTGTCTTCCAAACTCATCCTCCTAGGACATTGCTTCCTCCCTTCCTCAGGACTTTGGAAAGTAGGAATACTCTAGGAAGACAACTCAGAAAGAGGTGGGGAAAATTACAGGATAAAGATGAGCCTTAAAACTTTGTTTTCTGTTTCCAAAAATGGGGTAATAAATGTGATCAATGATGTAATGTTGAAGTAATATAAAATAAGGGGTACAGAGCCAGAGTTGCTTTGATCCAAGCTTACTCTTAAATATTAATTATTCAAATATTACCCTAGATTACTCAAGATTCCTTTCCCTGGTCCAGATTCTCACTGCAGAGCTTTGAACAACTCTCAACCTCCTTGGCATTAGGAATCTGACTCTAGAGAAGATAAGCTGGCTATATCTGAGGCCAGAAAAAAGGGGGGTTAACCATATTTCTGAGAAATTAAAAAGGAACAGTTCTTAAGGGAAATGAAATCTGAAGCTCAGTTCCTTAGATTCTTAACAAAATATGCCTTCCTGAAAATAAAGCTCAGTATTAAAAGTTCAACATGATTGTATTTAAAAGTATCTAGTGTTCCATCACCTACTACTTTTCCTAAAGGTTTACAGTAACTTTTCAATTTGTATTTGCTTTATAAGAACATCTCTTTACCAGGAGCGAATGCTATCACTTCCAGGTGTTCTCTAGGCGCTATTACCCTGTCATTCTCCAACTTCACTAACAGCCCCTTCTGATCACCTGTTCAAGGGTAACAAACCACAGCAGGTAGACCCCTATTGACAGGGAGGAGCCATATGCATGTAATGAGATGTGTGTTTGCCTGGGGCATGTTGCTTGTTCCAGCCTGCATGGCATCACTGATATGCACAACACCCATTCAGGACACCTCCTTCCCATCTCTGGTTACTTATTCTCTAGGGTTTAAGTAGCTCATCAACACAAATGGTTTCCACCAAACCACAAAAGTGCCAAGTCAAGAAACTTGGACAGTAGTCCCAGCTCTGCTATTTACTGACAATGTAATCTTGACCAAGTTATTTAAATTCTCTGATCCTCAGGTTCCTTACCCATAAAGATGAAGATAATGAGATTACTATTCTCGATGGGCTATTAGGAGGACTAAATGAGATTATGGTGGCACACTCTACCAAAGAGTGAGAGACATTTTGGACAGACTTTTACTAACATGACGACTGGCACAGCCCCTGAAAGTGGTCCTGTCTTGTGATGGTATGAGTGGAAGCAAAAGTTGGGACTAAAGTAAAATGCAGGTGGGGATGAAGAGAGAAGGAGGAATGCGATCAGAAGTGTGCAGTGTGCTCTCGTATGGGGAATTAATGGTAACATACAGTCTTAGAAGTATACCAAATTCTAAGCAATATTCTACAAACCAAATGCTTTAGTGAAGTGTAAATATTTAACTGACATTCTATAAAGTATGTTTTTTTCCATATTTGCAGCCAAGGTTTGGTGAAAGGGTTTTGTTGTTAATATTTTTAGTCCTACTTCCCCATATAAACATCCCCTCACCAGATTTCATTCCAAGGATGTTCAAGAATCTTGTCAGTTTAAACATTCGTGTGTCCCCTGTTCTTTGGGCACCAGATGAAGGCATGGCTGACTTTAGATGTATCAGTCATTATTTAAAATGAAATGTGCCACATAATCTCAACCAACTGTAGAAGGCAAAAGAGGAAGAGAGACTGAAAGACCTATCCAAACACTAATAATAGTTGCCTCTGAGTGATGGTATAAAGGATGCCATTTTCTGCCACATTAGAGTTCTGTACAATGGTCACTGAATACAATGACCACATTTTCTACAGTTACCCATATGGTTTGATTTGGTTTAAATATGGACACAAAAGAACAGGTAAGACCCTGGCAGCTGGGAACGTTCAATTGCTAACAGACTGGTACAGAACTTAGTGCAATGAGCTTTTGCTTAAATAGTTACTCTGGAAAATGTCTGATCATCTTCATTTTAAAACAGATTTTTAACATAGGCAAAGACCTCAGAAATAATCTAATGCAACATGCACTTTTTAAAGATGCACAACTTAAGAGTCAGAGAGTTGAAATGATTTGTTTAAGATCACACAAATAGCAATTGCTTCAAGCCTAACACCTAGATGTCTTGACTTGCAACTCAAAGCTCCTTCCACTACACCATTTGTTGGAATTATGCTTCTCTAAAGTCTCCCACCATTTGAGGAGCAACTGTGGTGGTGTGAGGTACTACAGATATACAAAGACTGATAAAACCTAGTCCCTAGCCTCAAGGGAAACAATTTTAAAGTAAGAGACAAATTAACATGTGTTCTGCTTTCATTATAGGAAAACCTTAGGAGCTACTGGTGGAAGACAGCATTTGATTCCCCCTCCAAAAGTCCCCGTTCAGTCAGTTAACAGTCTGGTACTATTCACAAATTGTAAATTCTCCATAATTTGGAAGGGAGGCAGTAGGGGAAGGGGAGTTACAGTAAGTTAGCTAACAACCAATTACCCTTCAAACGTAACTGTGAGCTTTACTTCCATCATGCATTTCTGTTGCCTTTCTCTAGTAATACAGCCCCCATTCCTCTGAGAGGAGGAGAAATACACTTACTTTTTAATTTTTAGTGGTTCTAAGAACCTGCTCTAAACCTGGGGATTAGCTCCAGATTTGCGCGTTGCATGAAACCACTGCAGATATTCAGCTTTTTCTCCTTTCATGGCGTTCAAGTTTTCTCTATCTACTTAGACTTCCAGGGCCAGTTCTGCTATCGCCCTAAATATAGTGGCAGGGCCCTGAAAACACATTGAGCTCTGCCCCCCGTGCCTCGGGGGTCCCGAAGAGATGAATTCATCACCCTTTCAACTCCTGTGTAGCCTGGCCGTCACGGCACCACTACGGAGACGGAGTCCTCCTTTCAGCTGACAGGTCCCCTATTCTGAGGAAGGGTCGGCCGAGAGGGACCTGGGGATGAGTGAGAGTCGCAGCTTGAGGGGTGCGCGAGTGAGCGAGCCCCAGATTCCCACGAAGACCGACCCGGGGGAGGAAAGCGCTGGCCTTCTTGCACTCGAAAATCACTTACAAATGAAAACGTGCGCAACAACAATACTCCAAAACAAGACCACTCACCTGCAAAGAGGAGGCCACTAGCAGCAGCCGCTTCTCGCAGGCGCGGAGCCGCCACCGACTCCTAAGACTCATCCTAGCCGCCGGCATCAACACTCTTTTCTATCCCGAGAGCCAGAAGGGGCAGGGCCTACCGCTCTGCCTATTAGAGGGCCGAGCTGTCACTCACCCACGGCCCCGCCCTATTCCCAGGAACAGGTCGTCTTTTCCGTTTCCCAAACCCCTGGGGTAGAGAGCGAGATTCTGATTGGCTTTCTGAGGAGACGAGCACACTCAAAGACCAGTAAAAAGCTGGTTTTGGCCCCGGTGGGAGGGCTTGGGAAGAGGAAGTAGAAAAACTAAGCCCGGAGCGTTGCCCCAGCAATAGAAAAACCTCAGACTTGGGGAGCAGCTAAGCGTTTGTGGTATTAGAAAGCGTTTCGCATCACAGGACAAATGCCTGACAATGTAGAGAAGTGTCGGCGGAATCTTGAAATTGATGAGGTGATGCTTTCTTTTACGTGGGGGAACTTCAACCCTGGGGATGTAGGCGGGCAATCCTCGAAAAGGAAAGCTCCTGCTTGCCTCGTGATTGTTTCAAGTCGTGATTCAAACAGAAGCCTTTCAAGTGCCCGATTTACGGGCAGTAACTCGTCCTCCCTTTCTCTTAGTACTTTTATGGGGCTTTCCTGACACTATTTGGGTCGGTGAAGGAAAGTGCAAGCACTAAAAGCTTATGGAACAAATGAAGGGAGGATGGAGTGGAATGAGGAGGAGAATTATAAATTTGGAGACCACAGTTATTGAGCAAGAGAAACCTATGAAGATACCCGAAGCTTGGCACGAGGCTCTCTAGGCTTCTGAGTAGGCTTGAACTGCCACAAAGGCTTTGAAGCCTAAGTGCCAGAACTTTGGGGTGGGTGAGACAGATAAGGAATTATATGTCTGCCTGCCCACGTGGGATATTCTCCTTGATTTCTAGAAGCTGCGTATGTAGTGTTTAGTGTTCTTTTCCTCATAACAAGTACAGTAGATTTTTTACTGCCACGCAGTTCCTCAGAATAATTCAACATAAATGTGGAATGATAATTTTTACGTTTTTTAACTGAATGGCACACTATGCATTAATTCTTTAAGACCTAAGTATTTGTAGTAAGTTTTATTTCTCGTTTATCTTTCTTAAAGCATAAAATTCCTCTTGGGATCTCAAAAAACAGAGCTTTACATCTGGGAGAACACAAATACAGGCCTGACAGGTGCCAGCAGGTGCTGGCTTCCATCTAGTGATAGTCGGAATTTGACTTGCACAAGATTAGAGTTCAGGTCAGAGCGACTGGAGGAGGCGGGTTCGTGGGTTCCAGTCTCGACTCCCCAGGAGTGCAGCTTCCAAATCCAAAACTCTTGCCCACTCGCTCTTCCTTTTCTTCTTAGGTGGTGAAGACAAAGTGAGGGGAAAGGTTTTGTACTACAGCCTGACATCAAAGCTGCTCACTCAGAGTGCCTGCAGTCCATTCTATAGAGTATAAAGACAGCTATTCACAAGGGTCAGTGTTAGAACATTTGACAGGGATACCTGTTCTAGTCTGAAGGGCACCTGCTCATTGGATTTAGTTTTACTGTTGTTATGGATGCCCATGGAATGTTAGCTTGTCATACAGAATAGCAGGATTAACAATATCAAACATCACCTGCCTTTTAGAATCACCTTGTACAGGTGAGGAAACAGGTTTAAGAGATTTATTCAGAATAGGTGGTTGGGGGCAGGGCTGGGCCAAGGATCCAAGGTTGCTAGTTCATATTCTGGGAACACTTCCTCTTCTACTTCATTCACCTCCCTTCCCCCTTAAAAAAGCAGTAGTTTTTTTTTTAATTAAGGTAACTAATTTTAATATTAACTTCCATTAAGACCTATCATGCGGAATATAATTTTGATATAAAAAATAGTGTAGGTACTATGAAAATAACTCATTGTCTCAGTTCCCTACTTTAAACAACTTTTGGTGTAGTCCTACTTTTATTCAAACAAGAAATGAAAATGCATTAAGTTGTTATAGCCATGTTGTCATTGTCTTTCTGTTATGTGTGCATCTTGGAAAAGTCAGTATTAACACATATGGTACTTTACGGATTAGTAGCAGATCATCTTATTCAGGACCTGTATAAAATACTATTGTATGGTCGCATAAATAACTGGCCAAAATAATTCCACGGCTATTTACACAGACCCCTAGCCTGTGCAGGTGGGGTTGAACTGGTCCACCAAGCACCAAACCATCATCCCCTGATGTTTGTGCCTTTTTCTTCCCTGGCAGAGCCATTGGTTCCCTCTCTCCCTCACACCCTCCAGCAAATTCCAGAATTAATGGGCCCTCTGTCCTGTGTACAGGACTCTCTCTTTGTCTTAACAGTGTCAGGACACATAATGACCTGGTTGTTAGCTGCGAGTATCTAGCCTCCCACCACACCCTACCTTCTTCAGAGTCAGATTAAATCCAACACCCATAATCCGGTGTATTAGGTTCACATTTGGCTGCCACCATTGCCCTACTAAGTACAGGACTCCTGCATTGAAACCAAAAACTGGAAATGCTTTTCCAGTCAGTCACGTATGCCCTCTGAGGGGACTTAAAAGCATTGTAACTTTCACAAGTTACAATGTAGGATCCTCATTTCAAGGAGGAGTGTGAAGAATAACGGAGGCTTGTGATAGCTTTGCAATCTCTAAAGCACTTTACATCAGCTACTTTCTAGCACTGGGAATTTATGTACATTGCTTGACCTCAGCCTGTGTCTTTATCTATGAAATAGTGGTAATAACTAAGTGGCCAATGTGAAAAGTGAGATATGCAGAGTGTACCTGGCACATGGAAAGCATCCAGTAAAGGCTGGTTTTCCTTAACAATTACAGAAATGTTAAATGTACGGGTTTTTACCTCCATATAAGTACTCTTATTTTAAGAACTCAAGGTAAGTCTAGGCCTTGTGCTTTCCTCCCTTTCCTGCTCTCAAAACAGGACCTGGACTCCTGCAGAGGATATAGGGCAGGACATTCCTAAGTTATGTTGCTGCTGCCCAGAGAAGCACCTGTCAGGAAGTAAATGCCAAAAGTGAGTACAGATCCATTGTTAAGGCCAGGAGCCACTGGTCTTACAAAGTCTGAACCATGTGAAATTTCCCTGCTCTGAGTCTCGGCATTGAGCATCCTGGCGCAGGAACAGAGGCAGCTTGATTTCTCTTTCCCCACTCTCAATTCTTGGGGGGAAAAAAGAAACTCTGGAGTTTGGGGCAAAGGAGAAGAGGAGACTTGCAGAAAATCAAAAGAGGCGCTTTCCCTTTTTACGAATATTTTATCCTACTATTAAGGCTTTTTTTTCTGTGGTAATGAACAAAGTAGGTGCAATTTCGGCCCAGTGGACTTGTTTTAAAATGCTCCATCATATTTACTTATTATAACTTTATATTAAAAATATTAACATTCATGGTATAAGGTCTAGAAGGAAAAAATTTACAACACCCATAATCCTACCACTCAGAATTTATTGTTGACAACTTATTTTTCTCTTTTCTTCCCTATCAATCAATCATTTTAAAAAGATAGGAGTCCATAGTATATATACTATTTTATAGCAAGATTTACTTAATTATGAACATCTCCCCATGTCATTTAATATTCTTCCTTAATATATAATACCATCATGTGACTGTCCTTTCAAGTATCTGCTCTCATTCTACCAATCTCCTACTTTTGGGTTTTGAGGTTTTTCCAGTTTCATGAAAAGATTCAAGGATTTAAATGGGTTGCTACTTTGTCTAAATGACAGGTGCTCTAGGAGTGTGTGTTAAACCAAAGGCATTGCCTGCGAGCCTCAGCCCTTCTTTGCCAGGCTGATAAAGTCACCTAGAATTCTCTTCTCTGGGTCCCGGTATTGAAGCGTAAGAAAGATGAAACCAGTTAAGCCTGAAAGCTCTTGGAGGGTTGCCCTTTAAAGCCTGCTTCCATCAGCATTCCCTGTTCTTAACCTTAGGAAAAGATGTTTCGGTGAGAGAAAATTAAAGGGGGGTGAGGAGGTGTTGGCAATCAGGGTTTTATTAATAAAACCTCTCAAAACTCCTGGCATGTTTATCGCCATTTTATAGATGAGGAAAGTAAGACTCAGAATTTGTCCAAGCCTGCATGGGTAGTTAGAGACTCACGCTAAGTCTGAAGTGTGAACTCTTCCCACTGTGCTTCCCACTGCTCCTACAAACTGATGGCTATAACTTCATTCTTTTTTTTCCCCTCCTGTGGGAAATTTGTTGTCAGTCTTCTAAGATAATAGAGATTTGTTATCTGCCCCTAAAAAGAAAAATCCCCTCCTGACCAAGAATTTCTTCTGCCTGTGGGTTTCCTGGGGTGCCGATGACTTCTGAGTCTTTGCCAAAATAATGTATCCTCATTCTCTGATAAAGAATCTGATGACTTAACTTTTTATCCACTTTTTGCTTATTTTCTTACAGAAGTGATGTCACCATATACATTGGAAAGTCAGAGTCATAAAAGGAAGTTCTTCTAAACCCTGCAGCAGTTTAACACATTACACATAGTTCCCTTAGCTTTTGGGATTTATGAAGTATGACCATAGATAGATAGCAATTATATGACGTATATATATATATTTATCCTATACATATGAAGTACATATGTTATATATACAGCAATAGGGCCATTTTTCTGGGTTGGCTCATAAATGGTCCTGAAGGAAATTCTAAAGGAGGGTTTTTAGAGTTGTTGAGAGCCATGAAGCATTGAAGTGGGCCTATAACCTCACAGTGTGACACTTTGAAGGCAGTAAGTAGTACTTGGAAGTGTAATTTCTGGAATGCTTTGTTAAAGTCTCTTTATAAAATCTAATCAAAATCAGTTTCAGTTGAGGGTACATGTTTTCAAAAACCTTTTTTCTATCTTCTTCCCTCTCTTCCACACATGCATGCATGCTCACACACCCATGTGCTCATACACACACACAGTACCAATGCCCTAGTGCAAACTACCATCATCTCTTACCTGGACTTTTTGAGTAGACTCGTAACAAATTTTCCTGAATCCCCTTCTGCTCTCTTTTAGGCAGCCAGGGCGATATTGGTAGAATCTTCATGATCATGTCACAGCTACCCTCCCTCCTTCCCTTA